TATATATATATATATATATATATATACATACCTACACCACAAAAGACAGGTAGAAAACTAACACTTACAATGTTAAAGTTGAATACTAATATTTAAAAATTACAAACATAAATGTAACTACCAAAACAATGTGTAACTTATCACAATATTTTAAATAAAGGTTACTTTAACCAGTGGATAATGAAAGATCTTGGTCAAAGATCTTCTATATTGTGAATTTATTTCTTATTTTCTTGATCATATAATTTATTATGTTTTATTAAAATTGAAGCTTTATGTATTACTCTTATCCAAATTACAAACAATTACAACTTCCTAACATTGGTACAATTGAAGATGTGATAATAAGATACCTCTGGGGAGATTGTAGAAATATGAAAAACATATTTCCTTTTAAAATATAATGCTCTAATGTGTTAATGGCATTTGACTGGCATACTTGCAACCTAAATTTGAGCCAGTCATCAGATAATTGATTTCGTGAAATGCATATGAAACTTCTGTAATATTAAGATACTGTGTGGAGGTTTTTATAGAACGTTTTAAGCTTTCAGTGATAGACATTACAAACCAAAGGCCCCAAGCATTCATAGATAAGTAAATTTGTATTTTTTTAAAATAGAAAAAAGGATTTTGTGTTAAATTATAAAGTCACGAACACAGAAACATGGTTTACTGAAAGTTACTTGTTGAAAAAAAGAAACAGATTTTATGCACAGAGCAGCATTCATTTACATCTGTAATTTAATGGTAACTTAAGTGATATTTACTGCAATTTAAATTCAGAAACAGGAATTCTAAGTATTTCCATTATTTACCCTATAAAGTGATCATCAAAAAGGCTGCAAAAAAATAATTTCTTTAACTAATCTACTATTAGAACATTACTAAATGTTGCCCTTTGGAAGTAATTTCTTTAGTAACTATTTGATAGGCCAACAGATAGAGATACTGTATTTTTATATGCAGTGATTTGTCATTCTGAGATAAACTCGCATACAATTATGGTTAACAAAATCTAGTATAACTTAACATGATTAATTACTTACGGGATCTTGTCTAAAATTGGAACAAGAACATCTTCCATAATCTTCATCTCTTTATTTCTATCATTCAGTGCCTCATTTAATTCTGGATCTGGAGGACCAAAAAATGTTCCCAGACCTAATGAAAATAAAAAAACCATTTTTTTCCAAACAATGCTTTATATATATATATATATATAAA